AACAAAAAAAAAAAAAAAAAAAGAAAAATAATAACGAACCTCTCATCAACTCACCCCCATGAACCCCCTAAACCCCAAAGCCTCTTAGGGTTTCAAAAAGCAGCAACAACAACGACAATTCAGAATTCAGGGTTTATAGGGTTTAGGGTTGAGGCTTATGGGGTTTACGCCTAACTCCTGCAGCGGTTCTTTGACAGCCCCCGAGGCCGCGAAGCGAGGAAAGACAGGACGGCGCCAGAGATTACTCAGCTCAAGCCACTCGCCCGCCTTTTTAGAGGCTTTGAGGGGTTTAGGGTTTAGGGTTTAGAGTTTAGGGTTTAGGGATATAGGGTACATAGGGTTTGGGGCAGCCTTTCCCAGCTGACTGGGTTCAAAAAGGGTAGTGTTTAAGGCTTTAGGGCTCGGTTGCTCGAGACTTTCGCCTAGTACTTACTGAAGGCATTCTTCCTGAGCAGTAGCATCATGAGATCAAGGGTTCCGGCCACTGTGACTTGATAAGCTCGAATGTGAACAAAATGCTTTAGAACGGCGTTTTTGGCCTTTCTGCAGTTTAAAGGGCGTCGGGTTTTGGGCTTCGAGCCCGTTTGTCGTTCGAAGGCAGAGTTCAAGCTTTGTCAAACCCTAAACCCTAAACCCTAAACCCTCAAAGCATCGAAGGCCTCAAGCCGAAAGCTTGAACTCTGAAGCTGGGTTTTGGAGTACCATGTACTGGAATAACCTTTTTTTGGTTGGTTCTGGGTTCCGATTTTTTTGCTACTTATACCCCAAAAGTGTAAAATTTTCTTCCAGGGTCTACTCCAAGGTAGGGAAAATGTTCAAGCCCTGTACTTGCAGGCTCTAGACGAAGCCTGCGCTTGAAGCTTGCACTGGGATTGCCAGTAATGAGTACCTTTTCCACCCTTTTTTTGCGAGTTAGGTTCCCTGCATCAAACAAGGGGCACCCTTTCATTTCTTAGGCAGCTTGGAACCCAGGCTGTACGGTCTAAACCCAATCTATGCCTGGAACACAAAAACGCCCCCAAGAACACATGACTGTAAGTCCCCTAAACCCTAAACCCTAAACCCTAAACCCTAAACCACTGAACACTTACGCCGTTCTGCCCGAGGAAGCTGAGCAAGAAGATCTACGTCAAGCCGCCTCCGGCCCCGCCGCCTCCACCACCGCCGAAGCCGAAGGTGCCAAGAATGTTTGTGTTTAGGGCTTCGGCTTAGGGCTCCTTGGGGGCGGGGGGCAGGTTGGGGGTTGGAGTGCAGGACTTGAGAGTCTTCGCGTTCAGGGTTGAGAGGAAGGCGGGTAGAGGATGCTTAAGCTTTGGATCAGGATACAAAATCACCCAAGCTGGAGCCCTGAACCTGGAACCAACGAAGCCTTGAATCGCTGGAGAATGCAAAGCACGGCCTTGGAGCATTATAAAGTCCTTGGAAGCCCCTGAAAACCGGGCCAACACCATAAACTTCTTTGCGCCTCTTGACCCCATAAGCCCACTAAACACCATATGTATACATATATATATATATACCTATGAGCCGGATCCCCTGAACGCCATGAACCTTGCCTAAGTCCTATGTAAACCCTAAGCCGAGGTAAGCCCTGAGCCCTCAAGAAGAAAAGCCGAACCTGACCCCGGCTTGCCAGGTCGATGCCTCATTGGCCGGGAACCTTGGACGACTTGGACCAGTTGGACCAGTTGAAGGAGGGTTAAGGGAATTACGTAAGGTTTAGGATTGACGGATGCAGAAAGCTTGTTGAAAAATGCCAAGGTGGCTGTTGCTGGCTCGCGCTCTCAGGTCTATAGTTACACTGTTTGGTGGTGATCTGCGGCACGCGAATGTGCGCGGATCCGGGCCCATTTCCATGCGCCCCAAGTCCCAAGCATGAAGCTCTACACAAGCCGCGTGCCAGTGGGCCGTGGACTGCGCAAACCCTGCGGGAACTCCCAGACCTGAAGTATGGAGATGGGGAGACCTCACCTATCGCGGGCATAGGCCTCTAGAGGAGGGGAGTCCCCAAGTGCTCGGTACAAGAGCCCCCTCGTGCCTTTTTATAAATAGCTATTTGTTTGTTTTTTATAGACAACCCAAACGAATATTATGAAATATTACTTCCATGAAGGTTCTAAGGACAGCATGCCCCCGAGGCCCAAAGGACATGAAGAGCCTGTTGCCTGTCAGATGGTCACCACAAGGTGTAGGGTTTAGGGCTTCGGGTTTAGGGTTTATAGGGTTTAAGGCACCCTCCCGAAGCCGCAGCACCTGCGTCTCAGAGAGGAGCGGGACCCCATGTTGAGCCAATACGGGGAAAAGATGTGCTTCGTTGCACAGGCCGTTTGCAGAATGAAGCCTGAAGCTGGCGGCACATGAGCTGTCAGCGGTTTTGGGGTTCAAAAGGCTTGCCAAAGTCCGTTGGAAAGGGGTTACTAGGACCCTCTTTACCTACAGTTTTTATGGGCTATACCTACTGTAATTATAAGGGTAGTTGCTACTAGACTGTAGGTAAAGAGGGTCCCAGGTAGGGTTTCGGACTTCAGGGTTCACGACGCCAATGACATCCGAGGAACATGAAGATGTCGATGCGCCGGGGATCTGCCGAGGACGCATAACTCTGAGTGGCAGGAGGGTTTAGGGTTTAGGGTTTAGGGTTTAGGGTTTAGGGTTTAGGGTTTAGGGTTTAGGGTTTAGGGTTCGGGCTTCAGGGCTACAGGGGAGGGAGCACTTGCCTTTTTTTTGCCAGAAGGTACAACGAAACATCACGGCGTGTAGGGAGCTGCGGCCTAGTTGAAATGCACTTCTCACACAGAGCTGCTCGGTATGCGACTTGTCCCGCACGCCTCGGGCGTGCGAAGTCTCACCTCACGCTGCGAAGCATCGCGAGACGAGATTGTAACAGTTATGGTCAGGATGCGGGCACTCTAACTCCCAGAATATGATGATGATCCCGAGCATAGGAACCCCCAAAAGGGCACCCCTTATTTTGGGAAACCTCCATGTGGCAAGAGATGTTGAGACATCCACAAGCTCCAACTCCCCCCTCCCAAACCCCCTGACCCCGGAGCAACACACGGTCTTAAAGAACCTGCTTGGGTGCAGGAAACCCCTATGCCCACACGAACAGTTCCGCAATGCCCTGAGGCCGAAAAACACCCTAAAGCCTAGACCCTTAGAATGCCTTAGACCCAAAATCGAGCAAGGCAGCCAGGCGGGCGGCAAAAGAAAGCTGAATCTCGACCTCCAAAGCCTCCTCAGAAACTCACTCTCCGGTGTGTTTAGGCCCCAAACGATCCTAATCATCCTGCTCGGGATCCTGACGGTCATCTCCGCTCCCTTTCGGGGCGGAATGCCAGCACTTGGCTCCTGCGAAGCAGGGGAAGAGGTTGGGGATGTTCCATGCCGGGCTAGGGCTCTGGGTTCTAGGACGGATGCCCTTGTTCGCTGTTTCTTAGGGTTTGGTGCCCTTATTAACCCCAGCATAAACAAGGAAGGCGCGCACAGCCTTGTGAACCTCCAAGTGCAAGGCCCCCCTTGGCAAGATCAAGTCCGAAAGCTCGGAACCCTGCAAGCATTGAGGGTGCTGCCCTCACTGCCCTAGCTCACTAGTTCGCAGACGGCAGTGGGGCCTGGGAATATGCACAGCCTTTCCCATTCCTAGGGTACGGGCCCGAGGCGCGCAACATCTCAAAGCCCACAACACACAACATCTACCGTCAGCCTCCAGAGGGCAGAAGACTGGCCAGCTTCAACCTTCACATTCTAGCAGGCTTTCACCCCCCCTCCGCAGCCTAGAAAAACCCGTAGCGAACTACTTTTGCTGGGGGTTTGCCTATGCCTTAAAACCACCACATGGCGTCACTGTGAGTTGTTCCAGCTGCCCTTTTCTTACATTCCTTAGGCCCGAAATCAGCCTGCTCAGGCCTTGGCCCAGTGCTTGCCAAAAGGGAAGCTTAAGGCTTAGGGCTTAGGGCGTCCAGGCAAGGTTGCTTTGGGAGTTCAGGGCTTTGAAGGGCTTGGGCGACTTCATGGCTTTAGGGTTCAACCTGGGCAGCGCGTTGGGCTGAGAAGGGAAGTAAGTTAGCAGACATCTTCTCTCGCAGCCGTGGGCTCCCAAGCATGTGACCCGCAGTGTCGGACCTGTCCGCAGGGGCGCGGGTGGAGGGGCCATGATGAGGAAGGCAGGCTTCAGGGAGACTAGAACGGGGAGCTAGGTTACAAGCCCTCTCTGTATATGGGCATTCTCCCAAAATGGGGGGGGGGGGGGGGGTACCTCTTTTTTATACCCCCAAATAGAGAGAATCCCTTAAAAAGGGACCCCAAAAAAGGGTACCCATACTTTTTCAGAAACCCCCATCTGCTACATCCAGTCCCTGAGTTTCGGAGTGGGTTCACTAGTCCTCGACTTCAGGACTTGGACTAAAGGACTCAGCCTGGACCGCCTAAGGCTTTTGACTCTTGGGTGTGTAGGCCTCGTGAAGATCCCTTAGAACAAGAGTGCTTCAGAGATATTTGAGTTCGGCTGATTTCAGAAGATTTGCGTTTAGGGCCGCAGAGGTTCCAGGATCTTCAGTCCCCGGCCCTTACTTTCTGCTCTGGTATGAAAGGGGCGGACGGGGGCGCGGGTTGCTGGTTGTTCTAGAAGCGGAGAGCTGTTTTTTGTTGGAAAGATGTTCCATGAAGCCCACCTTCGCAAGATAGGGCCCTCACTGCTATGAGCCGAAGGCCTCTGTCTCAACAAGTCCGCGAAGCAAACTCTGTCGTGCCTCATTGGCTAAGCCATGTCAAGCCACTTCAGACCTACCATTGCCCCTTGTTATAATACTTGGAGTTTGTGGTACTTACTAACCAATTAGAACTGTACTTATAACCATATAATACCCCTAAAGGGCCTCATAGGGGTTATCCCTATTATAAGTAGGGTGATAAGCCCAGTTATGAGTGGTTATTGAGTCTCATGAACCTCCAACCGAAGCCGTTGCGGGAAACATCAGCTTCAGGCCAATGTCCTCGAGATGCTGTCCTACGCAGTGAGCTTGGAGAACACTTTCCGACGGCATGGGAACAGCGCATCAACCCCAAAGGATGTGAACCTCTAGGAGCATGGCCCCGTGATGTTTGTCGAGCTGCACGTTTTTACGTGCATAAACGGTCTTCAAAGGTTGCAACCTCCTGTGCTTGAGGTGCACAGCCTCGGCATTGACCATGTTCGGGAAGCCGACATGGTCTGGATTGCCGAGGAGGCTCCAGCGCCGAACCTGCACCCCGGAGATTGCAAGCTCCAGTTGTTTCGCCGCCCAAAAGAAACGAAAATCGGAAGAAAGTGGCTCGTGGGTAGGGTCTAGGGTTTAGGATCTAGGGTCTAGGGTTTAGGGCTTACGGTTTTTAGGGTATGCTTCGCCTGGTTACGGTTAAAGACCACACCTTTTTGTGGGATGCTTTCGGGACCAGGCTTCGAGGTGAGAACTCTTGGTACTCCTGCGTTCTCTCCGAGCTGGGGTTGATTTGGACTATTTTTGAAGTTGGTCCGAATCCTATATAACCCTATATGGTCATTTGCGCCTGAAGAACCCTGGCTACTAGTGTTAGCACGCAAACGGGCACTTGAGCAGTGTGCAGTTGTCTTTTCTGGCCCCAAAAAGAACACATTCTTTTCTGGCGGTGCTTCTCCTCATGTTTCTTGCAGAGGAGTAGGTTTCCCGCAGCGGCCGTGGGCAAACCCTCCTGCTCGCCTGATCCGTCAGGCCTACAATGCACCCCTTCCTCCGGGTTGGACGGAGCACGTGGACGCCAACGGCTGGGCTCTTAGTGGGTGCTGGGTGTGAGGTTGTTGTGCCATTCGAAGTCTCCTCAATCCCCTCCCCTTGATTTAAACATCCCCTACACCCTACCCCCGAATATCAAACTCCCCCTCCCATATGCTCTAATATAGCTATAATGGGAGTATTTAGTATTAGTGGGGCCACAAGGAAATCGTAAGTTCGTCCCTGAAGTGACCGCCCTGCAGCAAGACCATAAACGCCGTCGACGCACGGCAAGTCCCAAAGCCACTTGCTTCGGCTCTCGTTACTTCAGCACGCAGACGCAGGAGAAACCTTAGGGTTCAGGACCTCGGAACGTTGACGTTACCTGGGTACCCTGATGCCTTGGCCCTTCCTCATGCGAAACTGTGAGAATATGTCAGCAGGGGTAGAAATGGCATCGAACCTCAGTTCCGAAAGCTGGGGATTCCTGCCCAGGGCGCACCTACTTCTACAACACGAACCTGAGGGAGTCGCTGTGGAAGCATCCCATGGATCAGGACGAGATGTGGCTCAGCAAAGAGCCCAAAAAAAACAAAAGAAGATGGAAAAGGTTAAGAGGGTGTTAGTGCTAAGCCGGTAGCGATCTTTTGGTGAGTTGCGGATTTTTTGTTTTTTCAATAGGGGCGGCAGTGACGCGGAGGTCGTTAGGATTGGGTGAAACAATCAGAGCCGTTGTTTCCTTTAAATAATAAGTCGAAGGGGCGGCATGACAAAGACTGACAGCCCGAGCGTGCAGACGACTGCTCCTGTGTACATCTGAGAGTCAGAAAGGAGCCCAACGAAAGGGCAGCCCTTTTAAAAACATATTAATAGCAATACAAATATTAGCAAGAGTAACAATAGTACCCCTTTTGTCTTAGGCTTAGGCTACTGTGGACCTTGGCAGCCCAGCCAGTGAAGTCAGCCCTGGGCCAGGAATTTGTAGAAATCGCCAACTACTGGAGGCAAGGCCTTCGAGTTCTGGCTTTCCTGGCTTTTCAACATACGGTGGGGGGGGGGGGGGGAGGGGGGGGGGGGGAGGGGGGGGGGGGGGGGAGGGGGGGGGGGGGGAGGGGGGGGGGGGGAGGGGGAGGGGGGGGGGGGGAGGGGGGGGGGGGGGGGGGAGGGGGGGGGGGGGGAGGGGGGGGGGGGGAGGGGGGGGGGGGGGAGGGGGGGGGGGGAGGGGGGGGGGGGGGGGGGGGTGATCCAACTGAAGCAATCAGTCCTCCAGCAGTCTCAGCCCTAAGACTGCTGCAGAGATGACGGGGTTGACGGTTGCAGTTAGTTGTTAGTTCAAGCCTGTGAGCTCAGGGATGTCTGGGGGCGGGGCGCATCTTTGAGGCTTGGATTCCCTTCTGAAACATCAAGTCGCAAAAAAAAAAAAGGCTCGGCCTTTTCATTCCCAGGCCCCCAGAGAAACTCTACAGACTTACTTAGAAGGTTGCCAGGCTAGGGCTTGAAGATGTCTCTTCGGCGCAGCCCTGAACGCCAACCCCCCGCAAACCCACCCGGGGTCTGCCTTTGGAGTGGTCTAAACCCTAAACCCTAAACCCTAAAACCCTAAACCCTAAACCCTAAACCCTAAACCCTAAACCCTAAACCCTAAACCCTAAACCCTAAACCCTAAACCCTACCCTAAAACCCTAACCCTAAACTAAACCCCCTAAACCCTAACCCCTAACCCTAAACCCTAAACCCTAAACCCTAAACCCTAAACCCTAAACCCTAAACCCTAAACCCTAAACCCTAAACCCTACCCCTAAACCCTAAACCCTAAACCCTGAACCCTAAACCCTAAACCCTAAACCCTAGGCAAGGGGCGGAGTGGGCTCTCCATCGAAAGCTGCTAGGGGCCGAGAGGCCCTATAATGCCCTGCGCCCGAAGCTGGGTTTAGGGCTTAAAGGGCTTACAGGGGATAAGGGCTTTCCTCGACCCTCCAAAGTACGTAAGAAATAGCCCAGAACCTATAAAAAGTGCATGTGTTGCATGTTTTGGGGGGGTTTACCTCAACCGTGTAGGGGATGTTCCCCTTATACTAACATGATAGGGATTATCGTACCCCCGATCAAAATCCCTCTTAAGGACTGTTTGCTTCAGGGGGAACATCAAAATGCGCTAAACCCTAAACCCTAAACTGTAGGGGCTCTGAGTCCCCGAAAGAAAGATGCCAGGCGCGCCCTGAAAGCTGGTGGCTTCTGGGACATCGATGAGGAGTTGGCCCGCCACCCATCAAAGGGATGTGGGGTTAGGGTTTAGGGCGTTCGGGTTTAGGGTTTAGGCTTCAGGGTTTAGGGGTTGTCTCCTTTTCAGGATACCCTGAATACATAGTTTAGGTTCCCCCCCCCACCCAAATCACCCCTCCCCCAAAACACCAAAAGGCACACATCACCCTTTACAGGAACCCAGAACGGGCCAAATTGTCGGAAACGCATGAGGCCCTGTCGCATCGTACCCAGGGACGGGGTCCAAACACATGCTGGGGGGGATCCTACTACAACTGGGACCCTAATAACTGAACGTCTTCCATGTAGAGTTTTAGGCCCAATATTAGGCCTAATATGCTACTAAGATAGAATTATGCAGTGCGTTTGGTTGGCCTTCTCCTTTTGAGCAAGTAAGGGCTTCCAGCATCGCCCACGAGATTTCGGGACTCGCCGTGGTTGGCAGTCGTGCTTCCCACAATGGTAGCTACCTGGTGAGCTACATGTGAAGAGTCATGAAGCTGTCGAAGCCCACCCTAACTAAACCCTAAACCCTAAACACTATAAACCCTAGACCCTGAACCCTAAACCCAGCTGAGGCCGAAATGGAGGAGAAGATCCGTGCCAACCTGTTGTGGCCCTGGCAAGGGTGGACGAAAGAGGGCTTCAGTTCGTTTTCGGTTGGGCTCCCCGGCATTGGTACACCGTGCTGACGCATGTCGGGTGCTGCCCAGGGATTCCGGAAGAACCCCAAACCCTAAACCGTAAACCTTAAACCCTAAACCCTAAACCCTAGGTGGGCCATCTCTTCTGAGCAAGTGCTTCGGCAATTTGCAGCTTGCAAGAAGTCTGAGTCCCCACCCCAAAGAGACCCGCAACCAAAATTTCCCCAAGCAAGCCTTACATTGGTTGGTTGCCTCTTTAAGTAGGGTTTGGTAGGGGGCTCGTATTAGGGTATCTTGGGGCTATATTCAGGTATGAGGGTCCTTTATAAAGCGAACCCGTGTTGAAGGCCAATGTTCTTAGGGTCAGGTTGGCTGTTTATGCTTTGGTGTTTTGGGCGATGGTCCACGTGTCTTAGTGCAATGCACGTGCCGAGGGCGAACTGGATGGAGCTTTACGACGACACGGGCCAGAAGCCATCAGCTTAGATGCTGACCTGCTTGTCAGATGGATCAAGGGATTGAGACTCGCACCCCTAAGGCTGTACCCCTAAAGGTTCCCCTTAATTACTTCTAGTATGCCCCTTATCTTCTCTTGGGCATCTTTTCAAAGGGTCCCCAAAACCCAACGATACAAACCTTAAGGGTCCAATGTACAACCCCTAGAATGGACTGGGCCGGTACTCGAAACCCTAAACCAAACCTTCCCTCCTTCCTAGCACTTTCGGCAACAGCAGTCTGATGCGGTAGGTTCGCACAGTGGCAAACTGCAGCTACTCCTTCAGCAGCATGTCCGTGGCATCGTCGCCTGGCGACTTGCATCCACAGATGCTCTGTTCCGCAAACCTGACATGTCCGAAGCCGTCACGTGGTGGGGCGTCCCTAAACCCTAAACCCCAAGCGAAAAGGTTCTACTTCAACCGGAAGACAGAGGAGAGTCTGTTCGATGATCCACGCCACACGACGTACCACAGCCTCTATACAAGAATCAGGCCCGTGAGAGATGGGTTAGGGTGTCGAAGTTTAAGATTCTTGGGGGGAGTTGGTTCCCCGAAGCCGTAAACCCTAAACCCTAAACCTTAAGCCCTAAACCCTAAACCCTAAACCCTTCCACAAGATTCAGTTGGGGATGCCATACAAAATTAGGTCCCATGTTCAACGGCTGGGTTTTCGTTGTGGGTCGCCATGCATCCCATTTCAAAAAGAATCGGCAAAGCTACTTGTACTTGCTATGTAGGTTCAGATAGTTATAATTGGGGTTGTAAGTACCCATAACCTCCCAAGTTAGGAGGTGTGGGAGTCCACAGTATTCGCACGAAGGGGCATCGGGGGTTCAGGTCCTAGAGGGTTTAGGGTTTAGGGTTCAGGGTTTACGGTCTAGGGTTTAGGGTTTAGGTCGGCTTGAGCTGAAGGGGGTCATCCACCACACCAAGCCCAGCATTCGCACCAAAGTAAGGGCTTGCCAAACCCTAACACCCACAAAACCCAAAATTGCACCGGAACCTAAACCCAAAGGAGGGCTTGCTAAACCCCAAACCCCAAAAATGGCACCCAAGCAGGTTCGTCAACATGATGAAGGAGAAGCTGCCATTGCTTGCCCTGGCCCCGCGGGCCTCGGCGACGGCCCCGGAGGTGTTTGGATTTGGATTCCACTCCTGTCGAGGAGAACTTCGGGTCTCGCCTTTGATTTGGGCTTGAGTTTCGAGCGCTCGGGGAACACGCGGTCATAATGACTTCTCAGTGCAGCTAAAGGGATTGAGGAATACAGGAAGTCGTTGAATCGTGACCCGAATGTCCAGACTTATCTCAGATCGCAGCAGCTAAAAGCCCGAATATTGCTGTTAGCTCTTTGAGATAGTGTGGAAGAACCTCGGCCGGTGTTCATGTTAGCTGTACCCATGTCTTTGTGTCTCTAACGCACATCCACTTGCGAAGAGCATCAGCCTAAGTTTACACGAGGCAGGGCCCAAACTTGAGATGGCGATCAGCTTTGCCCCAACAGCTGCTTCTTCCAAGATTCTCGGAAGATTCCTGCGAACCCTGAACCGTAACCCTCAAGATCAGAGCCAGCGGAGACTTAGAGCTAAAACATACTTTTCCTACAAAGCTTTGGAAGCTTGCCATTGCCCATGCCTCGCCCCCCCCAAGGACCCTGTTGTCAACGCGACGGAGCTCGAGCGGCGGCAGAAGGCTCCTGTGACCTCGATTCAAACTCTTAGCCTTCGGAGACTGCCCTGAATAGAGGAGCCTATGTAATCACTAAAGCGTATCTCCTCAAAATCCAGGGACAACTGTACTCAGAGCTACCCAAAATGTCAATTCAATCAAAGAGGCCCTCGGCTGAACCAACTCCCTTCATCCTTCAAGAGAACCCAGAGAGCCCAGTACCCCTTCCTTACGCACTATACCTTAAACTACCCCGGGAGCTCTTACTTCCTTATTGGATTCTTCGAGTGCAAGAACCAGTAACGCCTCCATCTCCTCCGCCAGGAAGCCCAAGAGAAGGCCCAGGCGGCCGTCACGCGGGTCCAGGCCAGATGGGAAGCAACGGGATGTGTGGTTAAGGTCCTCTTCCTTTTGTGGTACCTGTGGGCTGTGGTACCTATGAGGAGCGGAGATCTTCTTTCAGACAAGCCCTACACCGCCGTGGGGCTCAGGTGGACCAACAAGAAAGAAACTGCAGGAGGTGTGCAGGGTGGGAAGAGGTCAAGCTTTGGATCTCCTTGTGCCCTTTGAGGCCCCTTTTGTCCACTCCAACCGAAGCCACCTAGAGCTGTAAAGCTCGGTTTAGGCTTAGGGTCTGAAGCCCTAGAGCCAGCCTGTAGGTGTGGCTCAATATACCTCGCATCTCCAGATGCGGCTCAATGAGTGAACTTCCGTGCTTCCTCTTGTGAGGGAAAGAACTCTGAATGGGTGCAGATCCTTGAGGGTGACCCCCTTTAGCCCTGAAGTCACCAAGCACGCCCATGAGGCGAACCACTGACACCAGCACAGGCCGGGATATTCAAGAGAAAGAAACGTGGCGTCCTGAAGCGTTTTCAGGATGAGAGCGCCGTTCAAGTCAGGATCCATCCGCCCTCAAGCAAAGCGAAAACGCGCAGTGCGCGAACAAATCGCCAAGTTGTGGCGAAAACTTGGACCCTCATGAGATCTTCTCCTGTTGCAAAATGCTTACAAAACCATCGCTTTGGGCAGAACCGTAGCAGACATCGAAAGTATAGCTGACATGCCATGTTTGATCCGGATGGTAGTAACCCAGTAAGTTTATGTCCATGGACAAAAGTGGTTGAGCTCAAAAGCTGCGGCCTGCCATTGACTTCGGTCAAGTGGGTCTCCCACCTGAAGTGTGAGAGGGGGGAAGGATGCACCATCAATGTGCTTTGGAGGTGTAAAGAATGGATTTTAGGTAGGGTTGTGTGCGGCATGCTGTGACATGATCGTCACTTTGCATGGCTGTGGCAGCTCTGTATGATCCGAGCCCAAAACGTGCCTCAGGAGTTTTCCGCCATGGTTGACTCTATCCAGCGCAACCCTTTCTTGTTTGACAGGATCGGCCGCAATTACCAGCACAACTTGGTCTGGCACAAGTTCATCGAGCTGAACCCCGATGATGCCGTTTCTTTTCTCAGTCGGGGCGATGCCAAGTACAAGTTGGGCAACTACGAAGCGGCCATCGCAGATTACGACAAGGCCATCGAGCTGAACCCCTTGCACGCCGCTGCTTTTCTCAGTCGGGGCGATGCCAAGGACAAGCTGGGCAACTATGAAGCGGCCATCGCAGACTACGACAAGGCCATCGAGCTGAACCCCAAAAATGCCGCTGCTTTTCATTGGCGGGGGCTTGCTAAGTACAACTTGGGCAACTATGAAGCGGCCATCGCAGACTGTGACAAGTTCATCGAGCTGATCCCCACTTGGGCCGTTTCTTTTCTCAGTCGGGGTGTGGCCAAGTACAAGATGGGCAACTATGAAGCAGCCGTCTCAGACTGCAACAAGGCCATCGAGCTGGACCCCAAGCGTGCCACAAATTTTCAGTGGCGTGGCCTTGCTATGTACAACTTGGGCAACTATGAAGCAGCCATCGCAGACTACGACAAGGCCATCTTGCTGAACTACAAACATGCCACCGCCTTTCACAGCCGGTGCGTAGCCCAGCACGACTTGGGCAACTACGAAGAAGCCATCGCAGACTACGACAGGGCCATCGAGCTGAACCCCAAACATGCCGCTGCTTTTCACAGCCGGGGTGTTTCCAATTACAACTCGCGCAAGTATGAAGAAGCCATAGCAGACTGCGACAAGGCCATCGAGCTGGACCCTGAGCGTGCCACTACTTTTCACTGGCGAGGCCTTGCGAAGCACAACTTGGGCCACTATGATGCTGCCATCGCAGACTACGACAAGGCCATCTTGCTGAACCCCAAACATGCCGCTACTTTTCAACGGCGGTACGTTGCCAAGTGGAAGTTGGGAAAGTTTTGCGCCGCCTTCGCAGACTACTACAAGGCCGTCGAGCTGGACCACGAGCGCAGCGTTGATTTTTTAAACAGGGGCGATGCCAAGTACAAGTTGGGCAACTATGAAGCGGCCATCGCGGACTACGACAAGGCCATCGAGCTGAACCCCAGACATGCCGCTGCCTTTTACAGCCGGGGCGATGCCAAGAGCAACATTATGGCGGATGCTTTTCGCGGCCGGGGTCTTGCCAAGCAAAACTTGGCAAAGTACGAGGCAGCCATGGAGGACTTTGAAAGATCCATCGGGCTGGAGACCGGAAATCCTTGGACATGGTACTTCTGTGGCATCTGTGCAGGGAAAGCTGGCTGGCATGAGAGGGCAGCTCAGGACTGCAGCAAGGCCATGCAGCTGGATCCGAACTTTGCAGAGTTGTCTCGCAAGCGTCGTCCGGCTGAACGCCTTTCCTCTGAGGAGCCCCAGAGTAAAAGAGCGAGACATCTGGAGAAGGCCATTGACAAGGCGATCAATGATTTGCATACCTTACTTGCCGAGTGTCCTGAAGCAGTGGACTCAGCTCTCACGTTTCAGCGCTCCTGCTGTGTGCATCCGGAAACCTTCTTCGAAGTCATCAGCAGCGAGTTTGGGACGATCTTCGTTCCAGCCAGGTCTTTGTTCCAAGGAGCCCAGGTGATCGCAGCCAATGGGAAAGTGGCCGAAGTGCTTCATCCACCGGAGCAACACCGGGTCCCTGCCGTGATTGAGCTGCAGGCTCATGGTGGTGAGCCCGGATCATCGCATCCTCGTTCCCGGAACCTCTGGCAACACAACAGTCCAGGCCAAAGACTTGCAGCAGCACGGTGGCGTCGCCAAGCCCAAGATTTTCTTAGAAGTTGTGTTGTTGCTGCTATTGTTGTTTCTTTGCTGTCCACGCGCAGATATTTCTGCTCCTCTTGTGGACCCATTTGCTTTCCTAGGTCATTCTGGCAGATGGCACGCGCACCACGCTCACATCGGTGGAGTGGAAGAATGAGCCCAGCATGGTGCTGAAAATCAGCTTCAAGCCAGACTTGCCCGTTGCCGCCTTCCTGCGCCCATCCGCCATCCTGATGAAAGGCTCCTGTTGGGATGTTCTAAACCCTAAACCCTAAACCCTTCTAGTAACAGTAGCAACAGTCCTTAATAAGGATTATAGTACTATTAGAATCCCTATTAAGGAGCTGTTAGTATAAGGGAGAACATCCCAAGGCTCACGCGACAAAGCCCCCGTGCGCCGTGGCAACCGGAGGTCAAGTGCTTCCCAAGCTGAAGATGCCATGAGCCTCGGTAGGCTCTTGGGACGTTTTAACATATTTTCCCTTCTTGGGCTTAAGAGGATCATATTTCAGGAACATATGTTTTAAGAGGGTTTACACGGCCGTCCTAGGAGGATCATATGTCACGAGCATATGTTTTAAGAGGTTTTAAAGGGCCATCCTAGGAGTGTTGCGGACACCGAGAGTGCCATGATGAGCATTCCGGACACCGAAGGGCACCTGACGGATTGATTTTGTGGCAATTGAAGCCAGGGACCTTGCGCGCAACATGCCACGCAGTCCAAACATCTTGCACCTGTTGGAACTATACCTGTTGAAATCACATATTTTTTGTGTGTATGAATGTAGGACGACCCCAGCGAAGAAACGATAGGCAGCATCTTGTCGTTAGTAATTATGTTTGTGCAAATTTGTTTTAGTCTGAGGCTCACTTGTTGCCTACGCCTGTGCGTGTCAAGCAAGTGCTGATGCTTCGCCAGACACCGCACGGCTTTAGCTGAGTCTCCTTGATCAACGATTCGCGCACACCCTTGTGGTTGTGCCAAGTCAGATCACAATCCTAGTGGCGCCATTGGCTGCTGCAGGCAAAGTAAGTAGCAGCTCGGTATGGCAAGACTTGCCCCCCAAATCCCATATTCAAAGTCAGGCCATGTCGCTGTTTCAAGGTTGCTTGAACTGCCTGCAGCGTCCAATCCAGTCAGGCGGCCCGAGAATTGCGCCCCGCCGCGGTCCGAAAAAATCGTTCATGTCAGCTCTGCGTGTCCCTGGCAGCGAGGTAAGAGTGCAGCTAAGGGGGAGGGATTGTCTTACACTACTACCCGGGATCCCCCTTGTTGGTATTAAAAAAATGGATCCTTCTGAGCGCAGGGTTTAGGGTTTAGGGGCATTTCAGAACCCTAACCCCTGGAGCAAGAAGGGTGGATTTAAGGAAAGATCCTTCAACTGAGCGTAGGCCTCACATCCCTAAGCCCCAAAGACAACCACAAACGACCCTCAACCGCCTTGACTCCCACAGGCGGCCGTGCGCGTGATGCTGGCAAGGCTGGCTCTGGGTTTAGGGTCTAGGGTTTAGGATTTAGGGTTTGGGGTCTAGGCTCTAGGGTTTAGGGGAGGGGTTTAGGGTCACGGTGGCTTTACCGCTATTTGCTTAAGAACCCCCAAACAGCAGAAACTGCTACGCGCAATATGGGGATCATTATCTTTAATCTTCTCGGGGGTTCTTAAGCAAACAGTACTTTAGGGTTGCTTAGAGTTTGAGGCCTGGGGTTGGGAGTCCGCATTCTGCGCAGGCTTTTTAGAAATATGAGGAGGTCGGCCGAGGTATTTGTGATGGTTCAGGTGGTGCAGATGCGAGCGCAGTGCTATGGCATCGAGTTTTTGTGTAGGAATGCTGGGGGACAACTGCGGAATCTGGCAGACGCGCCCCCACATCAATACTGAGATTCGGGTTCTTGAAGGGCAATTTGCCCAAAGCAATGTCTTCGACACTCTGATGCATAGCACATAGCAGGATCGCAAGAACCATGGACCCTCTCGCACCCCTCCTTTTGCTGGCGAGTAGCCAAGTGAACGTCGCACCAAACGCAGGGCCCAATATGAAACATTTGGGGCAGAGGGCTTCCTGGGAGCCGTCAGGCCACTGATGTTTCAAAGAGAAAGCTCCGTTTAGTGCGATTACCTTATGGCAACTACATTAAACGTTCCTCTGCAGCAAGCTAGCTGCCAGGAATAAGACCGAAGGTTGCTTCGAACTTGAGTTTGCACTTTCGAAACCGTGTTGGGACTAATTTCAGGAACAACCGTTGTCTGCCTACACTTCTTAAATAGGTGCGATAGCACAAGGAGGTGAAACAGAAGCCTTGCCGCAGGAGAAGCACAAGATACACAGTACAAGAGCCGATTTCCGATGGAAAGCCCTCAGCGCTAGACCCCGAACACCTCATGCTGGGCCCAGGCGGCGTGCGAGGTTAATGCAGGCCAGGCGATGCCCGGCGCTAAGTTTACTCCCAGCTTCGGACGGGTTTGCGGCACAGAACCTGCAGGGTTTGCGATGCGTGAGGGGATCGAGGGATGAAGCCCTAAACTCCCCAAACGCTGAAGCCACAAGGCAAAGCCTACCCCCACCACAGTATAAAACCCTGCCTGAAACCTCTCCAGTTTTCACACCGCACATTGTCCACCCTCAATGCGCAACAATGTGAGGAATTGCTATGGGCATCGTAGAAAATCGGGTCTACTTGGTAGCCCAGTGGTACCCTTTACCCTTTTTTTGGTTATGGGGTTCCCTTATAAAATCACCAACCCAAAAAAGGGCGCCCTCATTATAATGTGGTACTGGGCTACCAAGCCTAGGAGGTTCTAGAGACGAGGCGTCTGCAGAGGATCCTGGACAAAAAACAGTCTCGGATGTAGGCTGACAGCCCTGAAGTATCGCAATGATTGACCCTACAGCGTACAACCCGAAGACCCAAAATCCCGAGGCCCTCTCCCTCTTAAACCCTGGGGGTAGTTTCATGGGCCCTTAGTATGGTGCCTAACCTCCTTGAAAGGGGGTACATAAGGGGTCCCCTGTTTACGGGCCTCTACTACTGTAAGGGACCATGTACCTACCCCTAAATAAACGCTCTAGTCTGAAGATGGGGGGTCCATTCACAACAAGAGAAAAGCAATGAACAAAGGTGCACAACAAATAGAAGCATTTACTGAAAACGAGCATGACAACTATCTACAACTTCAAAAACCCCCTGAAATATACTAAAGATTCCAAGTCTAGTTTCAGGAGCATTTCTTGATTAAAATGGTGCTTTACGGAAGTTCTGAGTTTCTTTGGCCTTGAACTGAAGTGCTATACATCTTTGCGGATGGAAGTTGCCTCCAAAAGGGCACCCCCCCCCCCCCCCAAACCCTAAACGCGGCTTGTCTGCTTGTCGGGTGGCAAAAAAACCCTAAACCCTAAACCTTATAAAACCCTACACCCTAAACCCAAAAAAACAAAAACTGACCAGCTGAAGAGCGGAAGTTAGGGCTTAGCCGGGCTATGGGGTTTGAAGTTTTTCTCGTTGTAACCTATTTAGAGGACTTATATTATAGGGGGCTTATAAGTACGGCTATAATTGTGGTTTATAAGTACCTTGAACCTCTAAGTGGGCAATTTAGCCACCCAGGTCTCAACCGCGTGCCCGCAGCACTGCAGGGGCATCCACCTCAGATACCTCAGCTTAGGCAGCTGTACCCCGGGTTTAGGGTTTTAGGGTCTAGCATGTAGGAATGTATTTGATGTACTACTTCTTAGTATGTCCCTTCCTTAGCGGGTCTTCGGAAGTTCTGCGTTCTGAGTAGGTGCTGCGGCTCGTGTTCCTTTCCTGGGGACTCCCGGGTCCTAGGTTGTTTGTGCAACGTACTACCCGATACTAGGGGAGCCATTTTGATTCCGAGGTTGTTAGGGATGCCAGTCTTCTGACGCTTGTGGGTATGAAACCCAGGCACAAGTTTGGGTAGCTGCTTCTCTCTGTAGGCTCTGGGAGTGTGTCATGTTTCCTTCCTTGGGATCACGAGGATTATATTCAGGAAAGTTTTTTCGGAGGGTTTAAAGGGCAAGTCTCACATTCACCCCCACAGTTTGCACTAAAGGCTTGTGCGCAACGATGTCCTAGGAATCTTACTGACACGAGAGAGAAGGTCAGTGCAAGTGAGTTGCTGTGGTGGGGGCTTGCCGCAACACCACCGTGACTCGTGACTATCCCACCAAGACAGCTAGAGCTTTGATTCCTCAATGCTGATTGCTTTCCTCCATGTGCTGATTGTCTTTAAGGCCGGTCCATCATGTAGAGCACCGGAACGGAATAGACCGCGCCCCCACACTGCTTGAGTCTACAATTGAAAGCCTCACCTTTCAAAGCCAAGAGCGATAGAACCCACAGGACACCCTGTTACCCCATAGCTTCTGCATTGTCACGTTGCAGCATTGCCTACCTCTAGCCTCATGCTTGACCCTCTTTTGTCCTTCTGCGGAAAAAACCCGGAAACCTAGGCCCTAAATCAAGTGAAGGACAATTTCAGGTGGGTAGCTTCTGCTTGTATAAGCCGTTTAATGAGCAGGTGCAAGGCTCTTATGCTTTCGGCTCCCCTCCAGAAACTCTCCCAAACTAAGGAGGCTCCGGCTCACGGTGCAAACAGCGATACCTGGCACAAACCTCAAGGAGTGCGTCCTGGCCTTAGTGGCCTCCATCCTCATCTCGGAGTTGACTCCAGAATGTCAGACTTTAGGGTTCAGGGTCTAGGGGTGGGGTCTCTAGTACGCTCAGTTGCCCAAAAAAGCCACGGTTCGGTCCCCAGTTTCTTGGAGCTTGTGGAAAGCAAGATGGGCCACATCACCACATCCTTCTGCTTGGGCCGTGTGCCGCTTTCTTGCAACACTCCAGCGCACGGCAGGGCATTTCATCCCATTTTGCTGAGGCCGTTGTTAATAACACCCACAACCTCACGCAAAACCCCAAAGCCTGTGTGTGCCACGAGCTTTCTTTGAAGGAGTTGTGAGCTCTTTGCGACCTCTGTAGCTCTAGGAAGCTGCTGCAAGGCTTTTTCTCTGAAGACCCTGGAGTTGCCAGATTACGGATCTTTGAGGGCGTGCAGCCAGGTCTGTTGCTCTGATGCTGGGCACCACACGAGTGAAGCATGATAGGAGGGTTGCCTGAGACATGAGATCCGACGGTTGCATCGCCGGCCCCGCCACAG